ACCTGGAGTGTGTTCGGACCTAGAGTAATGGAAGGAGGTGGGACAATGTCGGAGGAGAGGTTGATGTGCATAACCATGGTCTTGGTATGGTTGATGGTGACATGGTTGTTGGTGGCCCAGTTTTGGAGACTGTTCAATAAATCCTGGAGGGCGGTATAGTTGGGAGCAGAATTGTTGACGCTGATCCCAATGGTGGAGTCGTCGACATATTTCCAGCGCGCAGGGGTTTCTCTTAGGGCATCATTGATGAGCATAAGGAAGCAGAGTGGTCCCATCTTGGTGCCTTGGGGTACGCCACAGGTGAGTGACTGAAAGGTGGAGACAGCCCCTCGGAAGCGTACAGCTTGGCGTCGGTCACTGAGGAAGTCTGTAAGCCATGGTATGAGACTTCTCCGAAGCCCGAGGTCAATAGCTTTGTTTATGATTATATTGTGGTCGACTAGGTCGAACGCTTTAGTGAAATCAATGAAGGCGACAGCTACAGACGTTTTTCGTTTCTCGAGATGGCGGTATATGTAATCGAGAAAGCTGACAAGACAGTGAGTGGTGGAGGAAGTTTTCATGTTGCCAAATTGCTGAGGGTCTACGACTCCTGCAATATCAGCATAAGCCCAGTCAAACACAAAACTTTCACAAATTAGGCTGGGTATTGGGGTGATTGCAATAGGTCGTAGCTGATTTAAGGATTGTGGGCTGGTTGACTTGGGCACTGGTGATACATAAGAGGTCTTCCAGTCAGCTGTGTGTGTGTGTGTGTGTGTGTGTGTGTGTGTGTGTGTGTAGAGTGAAGAGGTTGTTGAGATGTTTGAGCTAGAGAGAGAGAGAGAGAGAGAGAGAGAGAGAGAGAGAGAGAGAGAGAGAGAGAGAGAGAGAGAGAGAGAGATAATATTTATATTGAAACAGTTTATTTAGCCAGAAGAACACAGATACTGAGTGGATAATAATAACAATATTAACATGGCTGAGCCAGTTGAGAACCTGAGCTGCACCTGATATATACTGTACATTTATCTCAAGGAAGTATTATGTAACATTTAGTATCATCTGGAATAGTACAATAACATGGTGGTAATAAGAACATGTTACCACGGTTATCACTTCAATATTTATGTATTTGTTTTACATGTATATTATAAGTATATACATATTTTACAGTGGTGTTGATATACATAAATATGATAAGGGAGGGAAGCAGCACAGCACGGGTTGTATTAAGGTGGAACAAGAGGACAGAGCTGCTCAGGATTATGTCTTGTTAACTCGCTATTTATAGACCTACATGACCTAAGCATATATATTAATACAAAATTACACACACACACACACACACACACACACACACACACACACACACACACACACACACTTCATTTAATAATTTCCCCGAGGTCAGGATGAAGTTTTAATTCCTACGTATACTACAACACCTGTTACCTTGACCTCTGACCTTTGAGGACAACATTACGTTTCCTGCTGTCCTTCACCTCTGTAATTATAAAACAACGAACATAAACATTAACCTCTCTAACTACGGTATAGAGTTTCAGTATAAATCTGTCATCAATTTTTATATGTCACTAACCCCGTGACCTGACCTTGACCTTTAGACAGCATGGTGGAAAGTGTCAGTCTCTCAATGACACACTTTACATAGACAGACAGACAGACAGACAGACTGACTAATGGATGAACTGCAGCTATAGTCTTATTAATAGCAGGGTGTAAAAACATACCTACTTGAATATACATGCCAAGTATGTCTGCTTGAAGGAATACATAGATAGACCATATATTCAATGCAGATATAGAGATTTATAAAGTATTTTAGAAAGATATTTAACCAATGGACGTAGCCACTGAGTGTTTGCCTCAGGTCCAGAATAATAATTTATATGTTAATGTTCGGGATATTTTTTTTTTCTCTCGTCAAAAATTCTGTGAAGCTCGTATACCTGTGGAGCTTAATGTTTATTTTTGTTATTGTTTTTATTTAGATATTATTATTATTATTATTATTATTATTATTATTATTATTATTATTATTATTATTATTATTATTATTATTATTATTATTATTATTATTATTATTATTATTACACTACCACCACCAACCCTCCCTCCCTCCTTCTCCCAACCATTCCCCCTCCCAACGTCACATCTGTTAGCCTCCCTCCCACCACTGTGACGTTAACGGCCGTAACATAACGTAACACCGTAACAGAGGAGCAGTAATGTAACTCCACACACCAGTCAAGGGGCCACAGCTAGCGCTTGAGGGTCAGCTGTTCCCAGGCTTAAAGAGGTGGGGTGTGGGGTGGCGGAGGGTGTGGGGGGTCAGGGTTTAAATTAGGGTTTTAATGCCACTATCAGGCTCCAAAATACTAGGCTCCACCAGACGCTAGGAGCCGCATATGAAGCCTTTAAACACCCCCAACTCACCACAACCACTAAAAATACTCGACCGAGGAAGCCTTAACTAAGAATTTGAAGTCCCGAGAGGCGAGGGGAAATATTAGAGGAAAAATGCTGAACCTTTGAGCTGATATTTCCAGGTCACGGATGAGAGTGGTGTTGTGTAGGTCATCGTTACGTCAGGGTTGTGTACTGGTTGGGGAGAGGAGTGAGTGGGTGTGGGTTGTTGTGGGTTTGTGTGTGGGGTTGGGTGTGGGTTGTTGTGGGTTTGTGTGTGGGGTTGGGTGTGGGTTGTTGTGGGTTTGTGTGTGGGGTTGGGTGTGGGTTGTTGTGGGTTTGTGTGTGGGTATGGGTTGTTGTGGGTTTGTGTGTGGGGTTGTGTGGGGATAGGTGTGGGTTGTTGTGGGTTTGTGTGTGGGTTGTTGTGGGTTTGTGTTTGGGTGTGGGTTGTTGTGGGTTTGTGTGTGGGTATGGGTATGGGTTGTTGTGGGTTTGTGTGTGGGGTTGGGTATGGGTTGTTGTGGGTTTGTGTGTGGATATGGGTATGGGTTGTTGTGGGTTTGTGTGTGGGATGGGTGTGGGATGTTGTGGGTTTGTGTTTGGGTGTGTGGTTATTGTGGGTTTGTGTGTGGGGATGGGTGTGGGGTTGTTGTGGGTTTGTGTTTGGGTGTGGGTTATTGTGGGTTTGTGTGTGGGGATGGGTGTGGGTTGTTGTGGGTTTGTGCGTGTATGTGTAGATGAGAGGGTGTTGGTTGGGGTCTGTGTGTGTATCAGTAGGAGTTGATCACACACACACACACACACACACACACACACACACACACACACACACACACACGTCATACTCATTAATCTCAAACAGATTTATAGGTCCTCAATGACGGTGAATGCTATCTAGCCGTGGTGACTGAACCATGTGAAAACAATGAAGATATGATCGACTTTTCTGCTATATAGGAAAAAACAACCCAATAATTACCAGAATACAGATGAAGAGGTGTAACTCTCTCCAGCTGATGAAAACCCGATCATAAAACGCTCGTGAAAGTAAATGTTTTTCGTCACGTTGTCTCTAGCTAGTGGTGGACCTGCGCGCGCACGTTAGGGGAGAGAGTGGGATGTGAGTGGACCGCTGGAGTCATATTCTCAATGATTCTTCACGTCATTTCTCCCTTTTCTCTGTAACTGTGGATCTGAGAACGTTTCTGTTTGACTCAGTATATTGTTCACGCAATATATAGTTTTTTGCTCTGGCTTCTATTGACGTTGTTTTCAAGTAGGTGAATTTGAGGCGTCTTTAAAGTAAGTATTCTCAGTTACAGAAGAAAATTATCATTGTAGGCGTTTGTGGTTACCTGAGGAACAGTGTTACCAGCTATCGATCGAGATGACTGACCTCCTGCAGAGTTACCACCCTAAGCAGTCCTAGAAAGACAGCATATGTCGTGCTGACGTGTCAAACGAGGTTAAGGAAGCCTTGGATCTGGTGCCCAACACTCGATCAGACGAAGGCCAGAGCTGGGCGTCCAAGGCCTACCTACCTACCTACCTAACCACCCACCCCAGCGCTGGCAAATGCGTCATGCAGGACTGGCCACTGTACCTACCTAAATAAACATTACAGGACCAACACGCTTCACTCTCATTCTTTATCCCATTCCCTCTCGCACACAAAATCCCAACACATTCTCTACCCCGTAAGTATAAAACAAAACACACAGTACACAGCGAAACAATACAACTCGTACAATACATATACCTATCTACTTTAATACATGACGTGGGTCGCTGACGTCAACACCCTTGTATTTTTTGTGTATATTGTGCATGTATTTGTGTATTTTTTGTTGTTGTTGTATCTCTCCGAGGTTGTGTATAAAGGCTAGGGACCACCAGGCTCTATTTTGGTCTCAGCTGACATGACGTGTTGTTGACATGTTGGGGTATTTAAATTTGTTTACATTGTGGAGAGAAAAGCTTGTTTGTGTGAGCTGGTGCAGTCATATACTACTTTGTGCTTTTAATCCTCCCCCAGCCTCTCCTTCAATCCTCAACCTCCTCCTTCAATCAGTCTTCCTCATTCTAACCAACTCTCCCTCCACACTCCTCCTCTCCCCCCTCCTCCACCTCACTCTCCCTCTCTCTCCCTCCTCTCCCTCCTCTCTCTCCTCCTCCTCCCTCGCCTCCTCATCTCTCTCACTCCTCTCACCTCCCTCACCTCCTCTCTCTTCACTCTTCCTCCCTCATTCCATCACTTTTTCCTCACCTCCCTCACTCTCCTCTCTCCTCACCCCTCCCTCACTCTCACTCCCTCTCTCTCTCACCTCCCTCTCTCCATCACTCTCCCTCACTCTCCCTCTCTCCCTCACCCTCCCTCACTCTCCCTCTTTCTCTCTCTCACTTTCCCTCCCTCTCTCTCCCTCACTCTCCCTCTCTCTCCCTCTCTCCCTCACTCTCTCTCTCTCTCACTCTCCCTCACTCTTCCAACTGTGTACAGTATATGGTGTTATGACTGTTAGTTGTAACAATCACTTGAGAAGCTATAGAGTTTCACTGTGTATAAAGTATTTTACTCTTTAAATACCTAC